GAGCTACTTGGCTGGAAATAAACTCAAAGTCGACGGGGTGACAGAATGTCTGGTTTGGGTAAAGGCGGTCATGGCTAGGGAAAATGGCACTGGGAGTGAAGCCCACTGCCAAACTCGTTCGATAATTATTGTTTCACACTAAATCCGCAGCTAGTATCCTGCAGCCGAAGTTGTTACTACTCCCTATTGCACTATGAAGCACTGGCTGACATTACCGTGTCGGGTCACAAAAGTTAATATCCTCAAAATGGTTTAAAACAAATTCGCTGCTCTATTTCATACGAAGACAAGTACTTAACTGCTAGACATTGAATTCCTTGGATGTTTGAGAGCCCCAAGTAACGCTAAGTGGTCATATTCTTTACTAATGAAAAACAAAATATTTTTTTGTCTCTACAGAACTCATTTTTTGAAAAGCTGTTGGGTGTAGATGAAGGTAAATAATAGAAGTCTGTGAATTTTACCCAGTTTGGAGCAGACTTTGCGATCTCTTATGCACGTAGACAACTTGAGTAAAATGTCATTGAGTAAACTAATACCATTGTGCGAATTACAACCCAATGCCAGTATGCGGAGTGGTACTTACCAGGATGTCATTACTCAAATATCATGAATGTATGGATAATTCGCCAAACGCTAAGAACGTATGTGGTAAACTGCCGAACGTGCCCCTTTGAGAGCAACTCTTAGCGAAGATAAATGTCGGGTGCCTTCCTGATTTTATGTAAAACTGCTCAACAGGAGTATACTACAACTGTCTGGCTATAAATTATTAAAGCTGGGATCCACAAGCAACCCATTTAACCCCAATTTATCTAATCAGACATTTAGCGTTGAAGCGTAGTGATACGTTTGGAGCTTGACACCTGTACCATATCATGTGTACACAAACTGAGTACGAACGAATAGTGATGCCATTTAAAAAAAACCAATCCAACGAAGTTATTTGACATCATTTGTAATTCAGGACTGAGTAAAGTCCAAGCAAGTTTGTTTGGAAGGAACGATGCTCTGAGGAGCTGAGATGGCTTTTCCACGGGAGCACTCAAAAGGCAGGCAAATCATTGCAGTTCTTCAGAAGACGGTTTGTGAAGCCTCAAATGTATCCTTACCCATAAAAGTCAAACCAACTTCCAAAACACTGGAGAACACTCGTCAAAATAAACTTCAGGCATCGGGTCCATTTACACACGAGGCTAATAATGTTTTTGATAAATTTTTAATCACTCAGTTAACATTTCTGTCATTTGTGCAGTGCCGCTGCCCTGAAACTGTAAATTTGACAAAATTCCCGAAAAGGCAATTTATAAGGAGGTTCTGGAAAGGACTACAGTTTGATTGCTTGCAAATGAATGCAAGTGTCCTCCACCAAGGCTTTGAGGCTGGTGAAAGAATGGTTGGCAGGCGAGTGCAGCTTCCAACCCTACAACCTCTTTACAGACACTAATTACCAAATACGTAAGCGTTGATAGTCACATTAAAGCTTGGTCCCCAAATGGGACATTTTTACGAATAAAACTTCCTTTGTTGCCTTTCGACACCAAAACAGAATTGAAGCGCTGCTCCCGTGAACAAAGCGCTGCTCCCGTGAACACACGCCACGAACTGGTTTGTCATTTCAACACAGTTTTGCGTATGAATATTTACCCAGCAGGTGGATATCTAGCCCTGGCGGTTTGAGTGCCTCCTCTATAATAAACTGCCACTGAAGTGGTCCAAGTACATGGCTTGTAATTTTGTCCCAATTTCATGTTGGTTGCCGGCTGAAACAGATTCATCATTTTTGATTGAATTGTAAGAGTTAATTGTTAAAATTCTGGACTTTGTGCAGCAGTAATTTTGAGTTGAGGTGAGAAGACTTAAGGTGGAAATGTACTGAGTTACTTTGAAGTGCAGCGAATCAAGCTTACTTCTATCCTTAAACCTAGTCAAGTTTGACACACCAGCACTCAATCTGTGACACTACCCCACTAGTTAGGGCCGGCTGTAAGCCAAATGCATGGCTTTAAAGTACCCAATAGAGAAGATAAATAAATCCCATCTGCCCTATATGAGCCACTGACGCGGCAGCGTGATCGACCTCAAGGTAAGTGGCTGATCCGCTCCTGAGTGCCCCTTCCGCGTCTCGACCACACCTCCCTACCGCTTAGCACCACATCTTGGCGTTTAACCTCAAAAATGATTGCAGGTGTTGCGTAAGTTATTGGAATATTAGGAACGAAGACTAGCCAAGTAAACTACTACTACTTAGGAGGCCAAAGGAATCGCTCGCTATCTGATGCCCTTTTACGAAATAGCTGTGATGTTCACTTCCATGTGGCAGCGTTCACCAGCCTCGACCCCTTCTCCTTATTGGGCGGTCTCAGTGCATGCGTGCGCGCTCGTGCGTGTGTACTTGCACCCGCAAGGCATAAGTCATCTGCCCGTGCTTTAAATACAGTTTCCCATTATTAAGGTTGATTAGTGTTCGGATTAAAGAATGCCTCTCACAGCTGCCAACGTACTCGCGCTGTGGGGCACCCACCACGTACATTGATGATCCCTAATTACTCGAATCCTTCTTGGACGGCACGAGGCGGCTCCGGGAGGAGCTAGAGGTAAAATATAAGCATACATTACTCCGGCCTGAGTTACCTCAACACATCGAACTTAATTCAACCACAGATTGTCTACTGACGACTGTAAGTAGTACGTCTGCAGACAAGAATCAACTTAGCAAAAGGAAGTGGAATAATGTATTTTATTGATATCATCGTCATCGTCGTCGTCATCATCATCATCATTAATATCATCATCGCAAAAGTAGCTGTTTTAATATAAGGTAAGTATATATGAGTAGATTCACAGAATGAAAAATTGGTAGGGGAAGGTAACGATGTTAGATGCATTCTTGTGTGTGCGCTTGTGTATAAAGTAGAGGAAGTTGGCATTGCCACCCTAATTTCTGTGGTGCCAAGGGAACCGGACATAGTGGGTAATTCGCCAGGCTAAATTGTGGGTGTTGTTGTGGTTTCGGTAAACATGGTGTGGTGAATTATGTGATGGGTCGCCTGATATGAACAGTACTGGTCCGCAGCGCCGGTCGACGCAGCAACTGGCGTCTGGTGGGGCGGCAATGTGGCCGGTGAGAAGTTGATTTTCCGCTTTTGTTGATGCGACCACCAGTTGTTAGCATCGTCCAATGAACAATTGCTGGGACTGTGGGGCAGTGGATTTTGGGGGAGAGAGTCAACAGGCAGATTGTAGATGCCTGTTGATGTTTGAAAAAAGTTGGTGGGAGAAAATTTGGGACGGGAGACGCGCTGGTGACTTGTGGCGTAAAGGTGAGCATCCAGCTGACTCCGTTTATTAAACCAGGTATTACAGCTTTGGCAATGATTTTGCCAAGACCTTGATAAATTGCTCTTATCGCCTCCTCCGCTACCCTCATCGTGAACTGTTGCAGTTGCCGTCTAGAAAGAAAATGAAGAATAACAACAAAGTTACCAGAATGGGAGAGGGTTCGGGCATTACAGGAGGCAGAAAACTGCCTAACGACTAATTAGTGTGCGGAATGAACGGTGGTCTCCTTCCAACTAGGGTTTTTTTGCGCCCTCAACATGGAAATTTTCAAATGGCCCATAAGGGAATTTGAGAGTGCAATTACCCCGAGTGTCGTAGGTTTTTAAAGACCTTTTTTTAGATTTTTGTTAACCCCATGATCTCACATGGATTCTGCGGAAGTGTGAACTTCCTACGAAGGACGTAAAATGAACGCAGATCAAATGTGAGTGGCTAATACATATATTTTTTCAGAGCTAACTTCCACCACCACCACCACCACCACCACCACCACCACCACCACCACCACCACCACCACCAC